GGTTAGTGAGTTTTTTTCCATCCCCTTGTTTTGAGTCTTTGTATATCTTTAGATATATCGTTAGATTTTGTGGATAATGTATATTTTGTGTGTTTAAAATGGAGAGCTCTATTGAGTTTATTTGTTCTGGATCTTAGTTCCAGTCCCGGATATTGTTATCAATTTTCTGTCTCGTTGAATCTAAATCTTATTATGGGTCTTATGTATCTGGGTGTTAAGATCTCTTATTATTACATTAATCCTTTTATCCTTGTATCCTTGTAGCTTTGAAATCTATTTTGTCAAATGTGAAAATTGCAACTCCTGCTTTTTATTTATGTATTTTTGCTCTCCATTTGGTTGGTATGTTTTTTTTTCCAACCCTTTATTTTGAGTCTATGTATATCTTTGGATATACCGTTAGATTTTGTCTGTATCTTTTGATTGGGAGATTTGGTCGATTTAAATTTAGGGTTGCTGCCGTTTGATATTAACTGGCTATTTTGTCCTTTCGTTGATAAAAACTCTTCTTTATGTTAATGCTCTTTACTTTTTGGTGTATTTTTAGAAAGGGTCATACTGGTTGTTCCTTTCTGTGTATAGTGCTTCTTTTAAAAGTTCTTGTAAAGCAGGCCTGGTGGTAATAAAATCTCTGAGTACTTGCTTGTTCCTAAAAAATTTTATTTTTCCTTCAAATGTAAAGCTTAAATTGGCAGGATATGAAATTCTGGGCTGAAAGTTCTGTTGATTAAGTATATTGAATATTGGCCCCCACTCTCTTCTAGCTTGTAGGGTTTCCGTTGAGAGATCTGCTGTAAGCCTAATAGGCTTACCTTTATGGGTAACTTGATCTTTCTCTCTGGCTGCCCTTAATATTTTCTCCTTCGTTTCGATCTTGGTGAATCTAACGATTATGTGCCTTGGGGTTGGTCTTCTTGAGGAATATCTTTGTGGTGTTCTCTGTATTGCCTGGGGTTGAATAGTGTCCTGCTTTGCTAAATTAGGAAAATTTTCCTGGATAATGTCCTGTAGAGTATTTTCCAGCTTGAATTCATTCTCTCCGTCACATTCAGGTACACCAATCAAGCGTATATTAGGTCTTTTCGCATAGTCCCATATTGCTTGGAGACTTTGCTCATTCCTTTTTATCCTTTTTTCTCTATTCTTGTCTTGTTGCTTTGTTTCATTAAGTTGATCTTCGACCTCTGATACCCTTTCTTCTGCTTGATCCATTCGGCTGTTTAAGCTTGTACATATTTCACTAAGTTCTCGTGTTGTATTTTTCAACTCCATAAGTTCATTTGTATTCCTCTCTATATTGTCTATTCTTTTCAACATTTCATCGAACCTTTTTTCCAAGTTCTTAGTTTCTTTACATTGGGTTAGAACAAGTTCCTTTAACTCCCAGAAGTTTCTTATCATCCACCTTTTAAAGCCTACTTCAGATAATGGAACACAGTCCTTTTCCATCAGGACTTGTTCCGTTACTGATGAATCCTTTTCCATCAGGGCTTGTTTGGTTGCTGATGAGTCCTTTTCCATCAGGGCTTGTTCCATTGCTGATGGGTTCTGATTTTGGGTATACTCGGCCTTCTTAGGCTGTTTTTTTCCCTTCATTGTAGATGAACCGCCTTTCTAATTAGGTTTCTGAGTCAACGTCCGACTTATTGATTCCCAGTGCTGGGATCCGAGCAACCCACTGTGGTGGCCTAAATAGCAGCGATAAGACTGATGGTGCTCTTCTGCCCGGGAATCTCTGGTCTGGCTTCCCTCTTGAGTCCGCAACAAGCGGCTCTGAGTTCCCAGAGCTCCAAACTCCGGTCAGTAGGGGAAGCAGTCCCGTTGGCTCTGCATGAAGAGCTGCTGCACCGAGACGCCGGCAAAACCGCTGCGGCAGCCACAAGAGTCACGCTGGCGACCTGTGGGGCTCCTCCACTGGGAATCGGCTGATCGGTGAGTGACAAAAATTCGTCTAAAAGTGTGGTGTCGTCTCCTTCTCTGGGCTTTCACTGGGAGCTACAATCCTGAGCTGTTAGTGGTCAACCATCTTGGATCAATCTGACACCTTGGATTATAAAAGGAAATTAGAAATTGGGGTGGCAGGTGGGGAGTCATACTCTTGCCACTGTTCTCTCCAGGAATACAGAAAACCACTGAATTTCTTTCACAGTCATCACCATGCTACTGACTTTGCTTTCTTAACTACCCAAAGGGAAGCCTGGCATAGTGGACATCCTTTTACACTAGAGATGAACTTAACCTGTTTAGTGGTTGGTTAATTCATACATTTCTCATTCATTTATTTAAGGATTGTCCACTCATTCTCCTCTCTGTGCCAGGCACTGTGCTAAGGCAGGATGAGCAAAACCAAACATGCCCCTGCAATTATGGAGCTCACAGTCATGGGGAAGCTTGCATCAAGTAACTGATTAAACGTTTGTAAAAAATAACAATTTTGGGAATTGCTACAAAGGTGAGATCTATGCTTCCAGTAGACTATATATATATATAGATACAGTGTGTGTGTGTATATATATACACACACAGTATATATACACACACAGTATATATACACACACACTATATATATACACACACATATACACACACAGTATATATACATACACTATATATATACACACACATATATACACACACAGTATATATACATACACTATATATATACACACACATATATACACACACAACACACACACACACACACATATATATATACAGGCAGGAGGATCACTTGAGTCCAGGAGTTTGAGGCTGCAATGAGCTGTGATCACACCATTGCATTCCAGCATATATATATATACATACAAGTAACTGGTTAAACATTATCTATCTATCTATCTATCTATCTATCTATCTATCTATAGTGTTTACTGGAACCATAGATCTCACCTTTGCAGCAATTCTCAAAATTGTTATTTTTTACAAAAGTTTAATCGGTTACATATATATATACGTATATATATGTATTTTATTAGATACAGGGTCTCACCCTGTTGCCCAGGCTGGAATGCTGGAATGCAGTGGTGTACTCATAGCTCATGGCTGCCTCAGACTCCTGGACTCAAATGATCCTCCTGCCTCAGCCTCCGGAGTAGTTGGGACTACAGGTGTGCACCACCATACCTGACAAATGTTTATATTTTATTTTTTGTAGAGAGGAGGTCTTGCTGTATTTCCCAGGCTGGTTTGAGCTCCTGGCCTCAAGCAATCTTCCTACCTTGGCCTCCCAAACTGCTGGGATTACAGGCATGAGCCACAACATCCAGCCAGCAAAGCCTACAAATGGGAACACTGACTGAGTTATTGGGGTCAGTTACAAATCCCCTGAGATGAGAAGATTTTAAGCCAACCAGAGAAGGAGTAGAGCAGTCATAAAAAGTACCATCTATAAAAACTAAAAAAACAAAACAAAACCCTGAGCATGTGTTAAGAGCTCTGGGAATGATAAAAGTATGTGAAAACAATCCTCTTTCAGATATACACATCCTTCCTAAAGGAATATACAGATGAAAGCCAAGCCCACATTAGGACAAGCTCTGTTCAACGGGTACTGGGAAATTCCTCACCCATCTGTCATCTGTAATAATTTAAATTCATGTCCCTGGGTCTGTGGTCTCAGAGACCATGAGCTGGGTTTCCTCCGTTTATTTCAGGTGGTGGGGGTGTACCTAGGTTTCCTTATACAGTTGTGTGTCACTTAGTGACTGGGACACATTCTGGGAAATCCACAGGCAATTGTCATTATGTGAACATCATCGAGTGCTGTTACACAAACCTGGTGGCATCACCTACTACACACCTAGGCTATTAAGAGGAAAGCCTATTGCTCCTGGGCCACAAACCTGTACAGCATGTTATCACTGTCCTGAACACCGCAGGCAGTTTTAGTACCGTGGCAAGTGTCTCTGTATCTAAACATATCAAAACAGTAAAGGTGCAGTGAAAATACAGTGTTACGATTTTAGGGGACCCCCATTGTATGTGGGGTCTGATGTTAACTAATACGTCCTTATGTGGCCCATGACTTGTAGTTCTGAAAATCAGTGATTTCGGGGGGAAGGTTGGCTGAGCTTTAAACTAGGAACTGGTGACAACCCATGAAATGTATGACAGGTGAGACAAGAAAAATAGTAGTCAACATTTATTGAGAGTTTACTACGTGTCAGACCTTGGTAAGTTTTACAAACACACCACACCCCCCCCACCTCCCCCCAACACACACTCATTTGAACATCTATCAACCCAAAGATGTAGGCGCCATTTTAAACTTACTTTTACAAATGAGAAAACTGAGTTTACATAAACTGAGTAATTTTCAGAGTGTTCACTAGCCCGTAGATATGGACCTGAACGCTCCTAGTCATGGGCTTCACCACTGGACCTTCCACTCCTTGGTATTAGAGGCAGAGCTGGCATCAGGGGCTTCCCCACCCTTTGAGGTGATGGAAGTGACAGTCACTGTTCCCCTTGGCTGGGACTCAGCCAGACCTGCCAAGGACACAGACCATAAGGTCCTCTTCCTTCATAAAGGTCTTTCTGGCTGGTTCTCAGCCCTGCTGCCCATCAGATGCACCAGAGCAGTTTAAACGGTATAGGAACTGGGGCTTTGCCCTAGAGCTACTGAATCGAAGTCCCCAGAGAGGGAAGCCTGGGTGGGGGGGGTCAGTATATATTTTAAAAGCACTAAGTGATTGATTGCACAGCTGAGAATGAAAAGCTCTGGGCTGGGCTGTGACTCTTCTCAAATGTGTATTCACTTAAGAGACAAATGTCTGGTGATTTCCTCTCATGAAATAATGGCGCTGCAGTGGAAGGGCAGGAGGATGTACTGCTTTGGCTGGGGGTGGCCTTTGCTTTCCATCAACATTGAGATGACACAGGCAGCAGAGCTGGGTTAGAAGTGGGAAACTTGAGCCCAGGGGTAGGGAGAAGTAAGCACCCACCCCATTCATCTTTCTCTTCCTTTCTATTATCATCCCCGCCTAGAAGTCAAGAGCAGTATCTCCGATGCCTGTTTGCCTACAGACACCCCAGAAGCTCCTTGAGTAAAAAGAGTTGGATAATTCAATCATCACATCAGCCCTATGAGGAGATATGGGTAGCTAGAGGTCACAGGAGGCTTGCTTTTAGTAGACACAAAATTTGAACCTGGGCTATGTCAACAACTCCATCCATAAACAAAGACACAGATCTTGGAGTAAGACAGGGTAGAGGACACGGAGAGCCGTTGTTTTCCCCAAGGAAATCTTCCACAGGTGAGGTGTATTCAGCTATGTTCTAGGTACCTATGCGGTGAAGCTGCTGCTGATGGAAGGGGCTGAGCGGGAGGATAGGTCTGGTTCAGACTTGATCTCTGTGCAGCTGAAACATATGTGGCTGATTGTCAGACATGCAGTGGAGGTCAAAGTGGGGTCTCTTCTGTGCCTGCTGTCCCATAACCAAACCACATTCCCTAGCTTCCTGCACGACCAGTTTCTGTCCTCCTGAAATGAGAACTCACTGTGCCCTTGTGCTGACATTAAGAACAGAGAGATAATCATCAAAAGCCCTAAAGCAAACTGAAGTTCCAGGGAACACTGCCAGAGGTGCCTGGATACTCACCTGGAGCAGAGCAGTTCCCACAGGGCTGCCCTCCTGTGCTCTGCCCCGCTCGGGATGCAGGGAGGCATGGGGCATGACACTGATGGATGGCAGCAGCCCTGGCTAGAAAGGGTGGGCTGGGAGCCAGACCTCATTACCTGCCAGATGCTCATGTGGGCAGGACCAGCCGGGCCCCCTAGGTACAAATAGCACCAGGATCCACAGCTCCACAGGCTCCTGGGGTTGAGTCTAAATCACTCATCATCTGTGAAAGCTGAGCTCACAGCAGAATAAGCCACCATGAGGCTGTCTGTGTGTCTCCTGCTGGTCACGCTGGCCCTTTGCTGCTACCGGGGTGAGTACATCAGTCATGAGTCCAGCACCAGCCCCTGGGATGCCCTCTTCTCTGAGCACAAGGTCACCTCTTTGAGTTAAGTTTGGTATCTGGAACAAACCAAAATTCCAAACCTTATCCTGTGCTTGTTGAAGGAGCCCCTCATAAAGCTCAGGGCTCATTTCATCAACTCCCCAGCACCTAAGAAGTTTTGCAGAAAATCAATACAGGCAAAATGTTGGGAATTCTGCCCGAGCTTCACTTCTGGATGGGATCTGTGTCAGATGATGTAATGCAAGGTCTGGGGTGACTCTGGGCTCCGCCACTTCTCAGCTTTGACCTTGGGCAGGATGCTCACCCTCCCTGAGCCTCCTCCTATCACTGGTACTTAGAGCTTCTGCCAGGAGTGGTGGTGGGAGTGGAGTGGGATTATTGTGTCAAGAGTCTAGCTGTGGAGGTTAAGCTCTCACTGTAGTGTCAGACATTCTCCTCCCCAGACCTTTAGGTGCTAGTTGAACTCACAGCTTCTTAAATTGTAAATTCAGACTCATAAAATGCTACATCTGGAAGGATCCTTGGAGAGCTCCCAGTCCAAGAAGAGACAGTGATCTCTGATTCTCTCAATAAGAAGCCTGCAAATGGGTGGGGCATGGTGGCTCACGCCTGTAATCCCAGCACTTGGGAGGCCGAGGCAGGTGGATCACCTGAGACTGGGAGTTCAAGACCAGCCTGACCAACATGGTCTCCACTAAAAATACAAAAAATTAGCTGGGGCATGGTGGTGCATGCCTGTAATCGCAGCTACTGGGGAGGCTGAGGTAGGAGAATTGCTTGAACCTGGGAGGTGGAGGTTGTGGTGAGCTGAGATTGTGCCATTGCACTTCAGCCTGGGCAACAAGAGCAAAACTGTCTCAAAAAAAAAAAAAGCTTGCAAATGAACTCTTAGAATAAGCAGCACTCAATATACTTTCTAGGGCTTCTATGAGTAATGGTGGTAAAATTACTACAATGGTTAGCATTAAAACTTTTATTTTCTAAAATTAACTCTGGCTATTTTTTCCACAGTTCTTTTGGGTGCTTTTATTTACCCTGTCAGGACTGATCTTGGAGTGAGACAGGGTAGAGGACCGATCCAGACTCTGAATTTTCTCTTTCCTCTTCCTTTCTGAACCTCTCCCTCTTTCCCCATGACACCCCTGATCCTCCCCTCTCCAAATTCTTCCCACAGTTTGAAGTTGTATAGTCAGGGGTTGTGCTGAGCCTGGTGAGGTGCTTCCTGGATGCATGGTGTTTGCAAAAAAACTGGGGAAATGGAGAATCTAGACCAAGCAAAGTGATTACTCCACATCTTTCCAAAATTCCCAGTGGGAGCAGGAATGAGCCTCAGTTCCCTCCTACCATCCTCTCCAAGAATTCTAGATGTTGCTGCAGAATATGGGCCAAGTACAATTTTCTGCATGAACTTCTAATGTGTGTTAAAATTGATTAAGGTTATTTTATTTTGTTTTAATTTGTTTGCATTTTAGCTCTGTCCATATTGAATCACATAAGCCTAAATCCTCCAACTTATTCTCAAAACATCACCTTCAACATTTTAATAATTTTAACTTCTTTGTCTCCAGATCTACTCTCATTTCTCTAATTTCTGATAAGATTCTGACTCTACCTTTCACTTCAAAATCTGATTACTCAAAACCTCCTCTTCACCAGCATCTGAGACTAACAAAGTGCCACTTACTTGGCAGAGAAAAGTGATTATTTTTAAATCCAGAAAAGAGAATGTCGGCCATCTAACCAGAGAAGTTTTGCCAAGTAATGGGCGTGCTTTAAAAAAACAAAGACTGAAAGAGTGATCAGGAAGTTGGTTTTTGGGTTCTAGCTCTGCCCTTTGCTGCGTGACCTCAAGGAAGTCACAAGCTCCTGGGTCTGACATTGTCACTGCCATAATTACTGAATAGAAGTCTAAAACCCTGGGATTTTTGTCTGGGAGGCATGGGAGAAACACTGATTTCCTTAAGTAAATACCATTTTTTATTCTTTGGCTACAGCAAATGCAGTGGTCTGCCAGGCTCTTGGTTCTGAAATCGCAGGCTTCTTATTAGCTGGAAAACCTGTGTTCAAGATCCAACTTGCCAAGTTTAAGGCACCTCTGGAAGCTGTTACAGCAAAGATGGAAGTGAAGAAATGCGTGGATATGATGGCCTATGAGAAAAGAGTGCTAATTACAAAAACATTGGTAATTTCTTTCTCTTCTATGTGTCAAGGCTTCTGGTCAGCTGCACAGGGTGAAGTGAGGTCAGCTTGCTGCTCTGTGGGGGACACAGGTGGTGGGGCACCTGCCTTGCTGGTCATCGCTCGAGAAGGTCACCTGGGGCCATGGGGTGGGTGTTACCCTTTCACCTGCAGAATTCAACTCAGCTGCACACAGCACCCTGCATGTTCCTCCTCCTCAGATCACCTGACTGGATGCCGTGTCCTCAGAGTGTGCTGAGGACATGGGGAGTGATCCAGGGCCCAGGCAGGGATGGTGGAAGGCCAAGCACAGCTGCCTTCCACCTGGAGGCTTTCCTGAAGCCAAGCTGCCCTCACACAATCACTGTGGAATGTCCTGGGGAGCATGGGAGCCTTGAATAGGGAGAGGAAGGCAGGGAAGGACCTAGAGCCAGGCCTCCTGCTGATGCCATGCTGGCAGGCCAGTCTTCTCTGCAGCTTCTGCAGAGCCAGCAAGGAGCCCCTCCCAGGTCCTCAGACTCCACACTCCCCTTCTCTCTCACGATACTCTCCTGACCACGGCCAGTGGGCTAGGACCCTCCTGACTCTACCTCCTGCCATGCCATGGAAGCAGGATGTTCTCACTCCGTCTCTCTCAAGAAATCAGAGGATTTCCAGGGGCCTCTCAACCTGGCTGCCTCTGGGTTGCTGTCCTGAAGTTCAGCTGCAAATGCTTATGGAAGCTGCAGGTTCAGGGCCGAGAAATGCCCGGACCCTGAGGCAGAATTCCCACATGGGGAGGCTGGAGGCTCCTGGAAGCCAAGCTTCCCAGAGGCCCTCCCAGCCCTGACCAGCCTCTCAGCCCTGGGTCCCTCATTGCAGGCAACAGGAAACTCCACAGTCCTGGGACAGCCCAGAAAATGACCTCTGGCTGCTCTGTCCACCCCTCCTGTCCCCCAACATGAAGACCCTGGATCTCACTCTTGGGTCCCCCCAGGGCTGTTGGCCTGGCGAGGAAAGGCTGCTGCCTCACCGGCATGGGTGCTGTGAGGCCACCAGGTCTAGGCCCCAGTTTCCCATGCACACTGGGTTTCCTGCCTCTGCCCTTCCAGTTGTTTTCAGGAGCAGAATTCCATCGGCCACTTGGATGTTAACCTGTTGTCTTCAGGAGCTGCAAGACCAACCTCACCTTCCTTTCTTTCCTTTTCAATTTCAGGGGAAAATAGCAGAGAAATGTGATCGCTGAGATGTAAAAACTTTTTCATGCTGGTTTCTACCATCTTTCAATGATACCCTAATCTTCACTGCAGAATGTAAAGGTTTCAACGTCTTGCTCTAATAAATCACTTGCCCAGAACGTCTCCACTGGTCTTATGATCCTGCAGCCTCGGGCCTTGAGCCGAGGGTGGTTTCCATAGGGGAGTGGCCTTTGGGTGTGGCTGACAATCAACACCAGAGAACCGGCATCCTGTTGCCAATGGGGCTTGAGTCCAGGCATCTCAGAGGGAAATATTTGGTAGGAATCATCCTGCATTCCTTATGGATTTCCCATCCTGCAGCTGTGAATGAAAACCGTAGTAACGAGGACACAGGAACTACAGTGTTCCTGCTGGTCTTGTAGTGAGGGATCCCCCAGCCTGCCTGTCCAGGCCCAGAGTTTTCTCTTAGCAGGGTCCCCTCAGACCCACAGTCAGTCTGCTTGGTGCCACCTCTGCACTGTGGTTTCTCTCCTCTGTTGTGCCCAATATACTTTCTTTTCCATTTACCATAATTTGAGGACGTCTGCAGGTTCCACCCTGGAGTTCACATTTGTTTATTCCCCACACTCAGAGCTCTCCTCCGTGTCTGCATCACTCACCAGCACCTGAGGCGAATGCTTCCTTCCTCCCTCAAGCTCCCCAAGAGCTCCAGAGATCAGCACCCCCTAATAACTGGACAGCTCCAAGCGCGCACTCCACAGTGATTTCAGAAGCAGGATGTAAAATTGAGCCCAGGATCTGCCCCCAGCCTGCTCTCCCTTCCATGAGCCTGTCCAAGCTAATGCACTCACCCAGCAAGTCCCCTGACCAGAACCCAAGGAGATGCCACAGGTTCCCTGCTTGGTGTCCTGTGGCTGCTGGAATAAACCTCCACAAGCTTGGTGGCTTAAAACAATTGATTCCCTTCACTTCAGGATGTCTGAGGCAGGAGTGCTCCACTTGCACTGGTGGCTCTCAGGGAGTTCACTAAGGGCTGCTTCCAGCTTCCGAGCTGCTGACCGCCCTGGTCGTGTGGCCACATTACTCCACCTTCTGCCTCCATGATACATTCCCATCTCCTTTTCCAGGTTAAACCCCCTCTGACTTCTAATTACAAACCATAGGGTTTGGGTTTGGCACTGCCAGGATATTCTCAATAATCTCCCCATCTCATGATCCTTAACTTAATCACATCTGCAAAGTGCTTTTTTTTGGGTTGTGTAATGGAGCATTCAGATTCCAGGAATTAGGAAGTGGATGTCTTCGGGGGAATGCGGCAGGAATTAGCCAACCACAGCTTCCCTCCTTCCTGTCCTCCAAGAGTGCACTACATGCTACTCCCTCCACTGTCACAGCATCACCTATGTGAGTCACATCACAGAGTCACATCACACAGTCGTATCACACAGTCACATCACAGAGTCACATCACAGTCACATCACATAGCCACATCACACAATCACATCATGGTCACATCGCATGGTCACATCACATGGTCACATCACGGTCACATCACCCGGTCACATCACAGTCACATCACCCAGTCACATCACAGTCACATCACGGTCACATCACACGGTCACATCACATGGTCACATCATGTGGTCACATCAGAGTCACATCAGAGTCACGTCACAAAGTCACATCACATGGTCACATCACAGATCACATAGTCACATCACACAGTCACATAAGGGTCACATCACACAGTCACATCACAGTCACATCACACAGCCACATCACACAGTCGCATCACAGCCTGGTCCATGTCCTTCCCAGTTCAGATGAAGTCCCTGAATTGTCTTGCAACCTCTGTGAACACTTCCTGTAATACATCCTCCTCATTTGCACCAAAGTGAGCCCCTTACAATGGAAACATTATCCTATCCTCTTTTCAACAGCTCTATATGACCAGAAGCCACTTGTTCTCAAGGGTCTCAAGTAAGGGAACAAAATACTGAAAACCCACCTTCATAAAACAGTGGTTATTTTTATATGATGGAGAAAATAGTAGATAACAGTTATTGAGTAAGCATTGCTCTTAAGAGAAATTCATATTTTAAATCACATCAGGAAATATGTACACTTAGAAGCAGAGCCTAATGGGTAAAGCTCATGACCAGTTCAGCCTACTATACGCTATGTGTGCTGGAAACAAGGATTTGTGGAGTCTTCCAGCACTTAAGACGCCTGGAAGGAACCACTGCCGGGGGAGCAAGTCCACACCCTTGTGTTGCAAGGACTTCCAAGACCCTGCTCCAGCCAGCCCCGGTCCCTTCCTCTGCTCTTCTCCTGAGTGCTCCATGCTCAGCCATAGTTGTTCACATCTCATTTCTCAGGCCTCAGGTGGGTCACACTCTTGCCCCAGGGTATGTGTGTTTCCCTTTCCCTCTATAGCCTTTTCTGCCTGTGACATCTGACAACCCCATCTTTAGAATCCACGTCTCCTCCTCTGCGAAGCTTTCTTGGATACACATTATGTCAAGTCTTTACACATGTGCACTCACACACGTAGATATCCCTGCTTTATCATTGCTTTTCCCCCCTATGATGCAGGATACATATAGTAGCATTGTGATAAGAACAGATGACATAAATACTAGAAGGCATTCAACAAATCTTAGCAGTCTTTACTAGAATGCTTACAATTAATAGGTTTCTGTTTGTTGAGCACCCTAATATGCGTTTTGCTGGAAGACTTCCAAGTTCTGACTTAGTCCTCTCCAGTACCCAGGAAGGTCTGAGATTGCTCCTACGAATGAACCTGAGAATGAGAAATGCTCTACCCAGTGCCCCTCAACCCTGGCTCTGTTTTAGAATTTACTGGGAAGCTGTCAAATCAATCAATGTGCAGACTCCATCTGGGGCGCACACGTCTATCTGTGTGCAAACAGAGTCCATGCAGTCCCTGGCCTTGGACCTCCCGCTCCTGTAGCTGCAGGCATCCAGTGACCTGGGGAGGCAGTAGCTGGTGCAGGAGTCCCCCATGATACTCACAGGACTCCCGACATCACCCGGCTCTTACCTTGAGGTGTCTCCCTTAGCTACTTCCATAGCGTTTAAAGCCTGGGGATTTCAAGGTGCTCACTCTTTTCTCCATTATACAGTTAATCACATGAGGGTCCCATAAAGTAAAGTTTTTCTTCCTGAGCTGCTGTTAAAAGAGTATGAAGTGGGATCCAGCAAGACTGCTCCAGCTGGGGCAGGGAAGGTATTGGGAGTCATTGCTTCAGGGGTACAGAGTTTCTGTTTGGGATGATAGCAATTTTCTGGAAACGATTATTGCAAAGACATCATAAAATGCCCTTAACGCTGCTGAATTATACACTTAAAAATGGTTGAAATGGGCTGGGCACGGTGGCTCAAGCCTGTAATTCCAGCACTTTGGGAGGGTGAGGTGGGCAGATCACAAGGTCAGGAGATCGAGACCATCCTAGCCAACATGGTGAAACCCCATTTCTTCTATTAAAAAAAAAAATAGCCAGGCGTGGTGGCACGCATCTGTAGTCCCTTTGACATGGGAGGTTGAGGCAGGAGAATCGCTTGAACCTGGGAGGCAGAGGTTGCAGTGAGCCAAGATCACGCCACTGCACTCCAGCCTGGGAGACAGAGCAAGACTCTGTCTTAAACAAACAAACAAAAGGTTGAAATAAAACATTACTGCAAGGGCTGCTGTGGTCTGAGGGGCAGCAGGAAGATAACTACAGAAAAGAGCTAGGCCTGTATTTCACCCCCGGACCTGTCAGCACGTCTCTAGGTTCCATGCTTTCATTGATTTGCCGGCTGGATGTCTTCCTTGTTGAAGATATCGCTAATTTTTAAGAAACCCTCATTCCAAAATCTGAGGTTGAGGCTTACCAAGGACGGAATTCACTCATGCAGGGTCTGTTGACTGTATCCCTTAAAGCCTCTCCCATGACCTCTGAGCTAAGTGGAGCCTCACGATTTGCCTCCTGCACAAATATTATTGATCTCTTCCTAGGCTCTTTTCCTCAAACGTCTTCTCCCTAGGATCCATCTGACACTTTATGACAAGCTCAATATTCTGAACACAAAGATCTTTTTGTGATAAGCTTCTTTAAAGTGCACCTTCAGTGAATCTCCATTTTTTCATGAAATAAAGCTCAATATTTCAATTCAGAAATCAGAATATTCAAGTTTGTATAATAATTTAAGCTTCACATTGTTTAAAAATACATGTCTTTCTTTTTCTCTTTTGTTCTTTCATTCTTTCTCTCTCTTTTTTTTTTTTTTTTCCCAGAATTTCACTCTTGTTTCCCAGGCTGGAGTGCAATGGCATGATCTTGACTCACTGCAACCCCCACCTCCTGGGTTCAAGCAATTCTCCTGCCTCAGCTTCCCAAGTAGCTGGGATTAGTGGCATGCACCACCACATCCAGCTAATTTTGTATTTTTAATAGAGATGGGGTTTCAACAGGTTGATCAGACTGGTTTCGAACTCCTGACCTCAGATGATCTGCCCGCCTTGGCTTTCTAGAGTGCTGGGATTGCAGACGTGAGCCACCACGCCCTGCCAAAAAAAAATTTTAAAACATGTTTTTCTTTCTATCCTTATTCTTTCACGTTTTCTCTCTCAACTAACTGGTTTCTAACAGATTAGGGACTAGGAAAAGAGAAGAGAAAAGGAAATAAAAGTTCATAATTGACACAGTATTTTGTGATTCATTCAGTTTCTCCGGGTCTGACACATGTTTTGTGTCCTGGGTCAGTTTCATGAGTGCTTCATAAAGTGCAGATTACTAAGGTCTCTCCTTCCTTTTATGTTTTAACAAGTATTCAGATAACTGCAACGAATTTTAGAGAAATTAAAACGTGATAGCTGGAATAATTAATAAAGAATTGAAAGGAAAAATTAAAATAGTGTCACAAAAAGCAGTATGTATGTAGTAGAAAAGATAAATAAAAAATATGAGAGAAAAGGAAAGAAGGCTGGAGGATGAATCCATTATGTCTAACTGAAAGAATTCTAGAATGATAGAGATTATGGTGGGAAGAAAGTCACCAAAGAGGTCAAGTGAGGTAGCTCATGACTGTAATCCCAGCACTTTGGAAGGCCGAGGCAGGCAGACCACTTGAGCCCAGGAGTTTGAGATCAGCCTGAG